ATTTGTGGCAACCCTGAGGCAAATCAGGGAGGTCCGAAGTGAAAATGTTATACAATATAGGCCCAAGAATGCTACCCTGAGGAACTCCTGCCCTAACAGGTAGTCGATTAGATTTGGAATTTTGATAATTTACTTGAAGAGTTCTGTCAGTTAAATAATTTTGAACTAATTTCATAATATAAAGTGGAAAATTAAACTTTTTCAATTTAGCAATCAAACCTTCATGCCAAACACTGTCGAATGCTTTTTCTATGTCTAGAAGAGCAACTCCAGTTGAGTGGCCTTCAGATTTGTTTGAACGAATTAAATTGTTAACTCTTAAGAGTTGATGAGTAGTTGAATGCCCATGGCGAAATCCAAACTGCTCATCTGCAAAAATTGAGTTCGTATTGATGTGAAGCATCATTCTATTCAAAATTATCTTTTCAAAAAGTTTACTTATTGAAGAAAGCAAACTTATTGGACGGTAGCTAGAAGCTTCAGCTGGATTTTTATCCGGCTTCAAAATTGGAACAACTTTTGCATTTTTCCATTTATCAGGAAAGTATGCCAAATGGAAACATCTGTTAAATAATTTTACCAAGAAAGACAAGGTACTCTCTGGGAGTTTTTTGATGAGGATATAGAAAATTCCATCATCACCTGGAGCTTTCATATTTTGAAATTTTTTAGTTATAGACCTTACTTCGTCCAAATCAGTCCCCCAGGAATCATCAAAAATATTTTCCCGAGAGAAAATATTCAGAAAACCTCGAGCAACCTGATTCTCAATAGGACTAGTAAGACCCAAACTGAAATTATGGGAACTCTCGAATTGCTTAGCAAGTTTCTGAGCTTTTTCCAAATTTGTGATCAAAATTTTACCACCTTCTTTAAGCGCTGGAATAGGCTTTTGAGGTTTTTTCAAAATTTTTGTGAGTTTCCAAAAGGGTTTGGAACTCGGGTCTAATTTAGAAATATTATTTTCAAAAGTTTTGTTCCTCAGGGCAGAGAATCGCTTTTTAATTTGTTTTTGCAAATCCCGCCAGATAACTTTCATGGCAGGATCGCGTGTTCTTTGATATTGTCTCCTACGGACATTTTTAAGGCGGATCAAGAGCTGAAGATCATCGTCTATTATAATTGAATCGAATTTAACCTCGCATTTTGGTACTGAGGCAGCTCTTGCTTCAACTATAGAAGTAGTCAGAGATTCAAGAGCATAATTAATTTCATCTTTGGTTTGCAAAGGAATGTTTGGATCGAAGTTATATTCCATAAATGTTCGATACTGCTCCCAATCAGCTCTATGGTAATTGAAAGTAGAGCTGTTGGGATTACAAATTATTTCTTGGGATATTTCAAAAGTTACTGGAAGGTGATCAGAACCGAAGTCAGCATGGGTAACCAATTGGCTACAAAGTTGACATGAATCAGTTAAGACCAAATCAATAGTGGAGGGATTTCTTGCAGAAGAAAAGCATGTTGGACTGTTTGGATATTGAATAGTGTAATAACCTGCAGAACAATCATCAAACAGAATATTACCATTGGAATTGCTTTGAGCATTATTCCATGAGCGGTGTTTTGCATTAAAATCACCAATAATGAAGAATTTAGACCTATGACGGGTAAGTTTCTGGAGGTCACCCTTGAGAAAATTCTTTTGCTGGCCTACGCATTGGAATGGCAAATAGGCAGCTATAAACGTAAGTTGTCCAAATTTTGTTTCAACAGAAACCCCCAAAGTTTCAAAAACTTTGGTTTCAAATGAAGAAAGAATTTTATGTTTGATTCGTCTATGAATAATGATGGCAACGCCACCACAGGGTCCATCAAGACGATCATTTCTATAAATCAAGTAATTTGCGTCCTTCTTAACCTTATGGTCAGGTTTAAGGAACGTTTCAGTTATAACGGCAATATGCACGTTATGAACTCTTAAAAAGTTAAATAGCTCGTCTTCATTATCTTTAAGAGATCGAGCATTCCAATTTACAATATTTAATGCTTTAAAATCCATTACTGAATTTTAAAGTCATGACAATATTATTTGCAAATTTTACTCCAGTTTGAATAGCATCAAACATGGAGTTAGATTTAAGCATATCAGAAATCATGTCAATTAATGAATTCTGTAAAAATTCCATTTTGGGGGCAGTAATGCTTCCTAAGTCAAAATTGTCAAAATTTCCATTAGAACGTTGGTTAGTATTTTGATTTCTACCCGCTGCAATAGCAGCATAGGTAGCTCCATTAACTCGCTGAACATTGTTAGCAGCGAGGGGAGTAGGTACAGATGAAACATTTGAAGCAGGGGAGATATTTGTACCTACGGGTACGAATGTAGAATTTGTTCCTCGCTGACCGTTGTTAACAGCAGAGGAATTTGTACCTGGTCGGAAACGTGGAGCGTTTCCTACCTGACGGTTAGAACGAGATTGTAGGATCGCTTTGCGAGTCTTACATTCCCAAAAATTGGATTTGTGGTTTTCTCCACAATTTGAACATTTAAATTGCTTAGGATCTTCCTTCACAGGACAGTCGTCTTTTGCGTGAGAGGAATCACCACAATTCATGCATTTAGCTGGCATGTAGCAATTTTTAGTTCCGTGACCCCATCCCTGGCACTTACGGCACTGGGTGAGGTTTTGGAAATTTCCTCCAGTCTTCCTGAAGTGTTCCCACTTCACTCGGACATGGAGCATAAGGCTAGCTTTTTCTAAGGCCTTAAGGTTGTTTAGTTCACTAGACTTGAAGTGAACTAAATAAAAATCATTAGAAATCCCGTTGCGCGAATCGCCAGGACGGGATTTCATTTTCATTTTGATTACTTGGAGTGGCACAACTCCAAGTAATTTTGCCAGTTCATCTTTGATCTGATCCAGGGATTCACCACTGGGCAGTCCTTTCATGACAACCTTGAACACACGTTCAGTTTTGGTGTCGTAAGTAAAAAATTTGTGCTTCTTCTCAGTAAGATACTTGAGAAGACATTTAAATCCGTCCAAGGTTTCAGCCAATACACGGCATTCACCCCGACGTCCAATTTGTAGTGAAAACTTAACTTTCACGAAATTCAAAAGTTCCATGCGAAGAGCATGGAAATCGGTAGTGGTTATCACAATAGGGGGAATCTTTTCCTTCTTGGCATTAAGCCGGGAAAGTTTACTAGAATTTTTCTTGGATGATGGATCATTCTCATCATCCGTGAGCAAATCAAATTGATTACTCAAATTAATTTCATCAGAAGGGGGGTCAAGAGTTTGCCCCTTTCTTTTGCGTTTAGGGGCCATGGCGGCAGTAAATTTTTATCCAAATCGACTTCCAAGCAGATTACTATAAGAATCTGAAGGATCGAAGAGGAATTTTCCAAATCGATATCCAAGAAGGATTACCTCGGGTAGGGTCCAAACAAGGATCGAAGAGGAATAAGAGTTGAACAAGGTAGAAAATTTTTACAGGTTGAGCACTGAAAAGTGCTATTTAAATTTGTTGTAGCTTTAGGTAGTAGTAACACTTCCTTCAGCAAAAAGCAAATAGATCCGCACGGCAAGAGAGCACGATGCGGACTGCGTCTATTGTATGTTTTCCTGTTGCAGATAATTGTCCCCTGGATAATGCAAAGTGGCATCACAGCCTGGGCTTCTGGATCGTATCACTTAAGAAATATTACTTTAGATGTTCAGCAAACAAAAAGAACTCAGCCATTCATCAGTTATTGATGTCTTCAATGAATGTCTTGCAATTAATCTTTTACCTCAACTCAACAATTGGTGACCAACAAGCTCAGATATTTTGGCTGACCAACGTAAAAAAAATGAATCAGAAGTCCAGAACTAAACCTTATGATTGAACGTAACATGAAAATTATTTACATTAGCAGACAAAAAATGATAATTTAGAAATGGCTGTTGGAAAATTGCCCCCTTTGCGACAGTAGGGGACCCCTTTCTTCCCAATCCGACCCTGGCTGTACGTTCACCAAATGAGATCCCCCAACTTTATTGAAAGTAATGTAGCAACGACAGTTTTTAAATTTATTCGATTCTTTATTTTTTTCTGATTTTCCATGCACACTACTAATCTCAAAGAGACAACCGTACCTTGCAATATTGGAATGGAGTAACGAATGTATTCCAATATTTCATTCAAAAAGAACCCCCGCCATGATGGGTTTGTTAGGAATTCATCGATTGTTTGCTATATTGCACCCTTAAGAGGAAGGTATGCACGGAATTCTTCACCACCCTTCGTATAGGGTAAATGTGCCAATTATGAGAAGTTTACCAGTTATGGTACAATCCCATACACGCAATAGTACCAGCTAAGACACTACTCCATTTGAACTTCATAACTGGTACATGGCCCCTATTTCGGATTGTCTCATTTCTGAATCATAAAGTGCACACACACACACTCACGCCAAACAGCACTTGCACCTCCCCGGCATCCGATATTGATTGGGGAGCACATTGCATGCATTGATGGCTCGCACGGTGCTGATGATGCGCCGGATTACGAACAATATTATATGTACGAATAAACGGGACTAGGAAGGGACTTGATGCTGCTGCTGCTGCTGCTAGTTTCCATCAGAGCGAAATGCTCCACAAAAAAGAAGGAAACCAGGGAAAATGGATTTGCAACCGCATCGCCGTACCATTCCCGGTTGGAGGTTGTGGTGCTTTCCGCCGTCATTCGATGCTGCTGAAATGGCAGTTGCGATCGTGTGAACAGCTCACTGCTGACGTGGGATTTATTCCAGTGATAAATGAGCTATTCGTTATTTTTTGAACAGTTGCAAAATATGGGTAAATAAAGCGGTGGTTGAATTACAAATGTCCAATAATCATACTCTCATTCCACGAACGGATGCAACACATCCCATCAGCATTGGTCGGCTATCACGCTACATGTCTTTCTCGGGAAAACCTACATTAGCAAATGGATATCCTCTTGCCCAAAAGGGTGCAACCTGTTGCCGACCGGATTCCCAAAAACCTAACTAGTACACTCACCCGCAAGTGCGCCAACGGCTGTATGATTTGCAGTGTGATGTTGTCGATGTGATTTCCGGACAGATTCAGCGTGTGCAACTGTTTGAACGGACCGAATAGCTTCAACGGAAGTGGGCCCATGTCGGCCACGGCCAGGGTGGATATGTTCGGGATGACCTGTACCGACGAAACGGGAAACCATCCGATATAGACGAAACATAGACAATGCAATGGGTCAAACACCAGAGAGATAAATTACCTGGAAGGTGGGATTCACCTCCATCAGGTCCAGCTGCAGGTTGCCGCTGATGTTGAATGTTTGCAAACTTGCTGCCACCGGTTCCAGGCATTCCGGCTCGATGCGTGATAATTTATTGTACGATACGTCCAGATATGTGAGATTCGATAAATTCTCGAATGCTTTCTCCGAGATTTTGGCCAACCGGTTGAACGAGAGGTCTGCAAAAGGGAAAACAGAAAGAGAAGGTGAAATGGGTGGTATTGATGGTTATCAATTTGCGGTAGATGGGAAAAATTGTGCTACATTCATATCGAGGATTGTGGTCGGAAATTGATGGTCTGGGAAGGGTAAGGATCTAGTAATATGTCTTGATGGCATCGGAACAAAGCTGGGATGTTTAGGATTTTCAAAGATGACGATGAATTATTCATTGGGTTCGTCTTTACCTAGAAAGTTGAGTACTTTCAGATACTCGAATAGATGGTCTACGACGACCGACAGTTGGTTGCCGTCGAGACGGAGAACTCGTAAACGTTTCAGATCTTTGAATTCCGTCCGGACGAAGTAGGTGAACTGTAAGGTGAGAAACAAAAACATGAACATATTATTGAAATGTTTGAATCTAGATATTTATTTGCTTATAACTTTTCTAAATTTTTATTTATCTTCCGTCGGTCGTTGTTCAGCTAGCGAGTCCTAATCATCCGGATGACAAAACTTGGGCTCCAGATATCAAACCTATCAAAAGTACCAACGCACCATGGCCCAGGATGGGAACTTAGCAGGAAATTAGCCCTTGAAATTTATCTTTAATATTTAGACGTTTGGTGTCTTGTACGCAGGCAAAAGAACGTAAGAATTCTATAAGAAACACTTATGAATTTTAGCCATTAGAAATGAGTGTGAATTTCATTGATTTTCCTTATGAAAAATAATAAATCGGAGCAGACTGGAACCGGAAAATGAACGTTTAGGTTTGGGGGCCCATGTATTGACCACTTGTCTTTCCTTTTTTTATATAATGCGTTTATTTTTCCTGGCTCTTTTGCCGGAGCTTTGTGGAGCCGATATTCATTGTTTGGATTACAAAATTTCTTAAAACTAACGTTAGTAAACCGGGGGTTGATTACTCGCGGCTATCTCGAGGTTAGGGGTAACAAATTGTAAAAAATGGATGGCAGGGTAGGGATTGAGAACACAAGGTTTGGCGAGCAATGTGATCTTGATCTCGAACTAAGCGACCAACTGATGAAAAAGACAAACATGGGGGTACACCGATGGGCAGCCAACAACTTGGGGGAACACAAGATGACACTAGCTACTAAATCCTCAGATCGATCTGTTTTAAAAACACATAAATTTAATTGCAATAGTCGGCTGTTTTTCTCGGGCCCTAAGGGATGCGGATAACTCGGATCTAGCAACACAATGGAGGGTGCATGACCAATGAACGTGGTCGATATCGTGATAGCCACTACCACAAGCGCACAAATTGCTGCCTGCGAGCCCGATTCGGAAGAAATGCGAGTCTAATGAGTAGTGATTGGACATGAGCCTTGATATGACACGTATAAAGTCATGGCTTATGTCCAATCCTTTGAACCATGGTTTGTTCGACACCTGTGGGAGAATAGAATGTAACCATCTTCCCAGATCACTCTCATTCCATTTTTGTTGCCAGTTGGTGAAGACGTGCTGACGGGTAATTGAAAAAAAAATTCGCAAAGGCGATTTGTCGATCAAAAATATCGCCTTCCATAGCGCCCACCTAAGCTAGCGAGTCCGCTTTCTCATTACCCGGTATTGAGCAATGAGATGGGACCCAAACTAAGGTGATAGTATAGGAGCAGTTAGATAAAGTACTCAATTTTGCTCGGATTTCGGTCAGGAAATACGAGGAGTGCTTCATCGGCCTCATTGATCGAATAGCCTCCAACGAGCTAAGGCTATCCAAATAAGATAGTGATCAGATGGTAGTGAATCAGAAAAAAATAAAAATAAAATAGTGATCAGATGGTAGTGAGGCAATTTGCTCTACTGCGTAGAATATGGCTGCTAGTTCCGCAACGTATACGAAACAGGGTTTTTGCAATTGATATGAGGCGCTATGAAATTCGTTGAATACTCCAAATCCAGTGGAAGCGTTTATAGTTGACCCATCTGTGAAGAAACTCTTATTGTTACTAAAATTTGGGTAAAATATTGTTTGCAAAAATTAAGAGAACAACCATCTGGTATTCCACGGATTTCTTGCAACATGGTCAGATCAAAGTTTACAGAGGAACTTTAAAAGTCTTGTACACGAGAGAAATTGATTGAAGAAGGGTCAATCTCCAGCGTCATGTACTCGTAATAGAGACTCATTAATTTTGTTTGAGGATTTCTGTCGAGCAGCTTCTCAAACAGCAAAAAAAGGTTATCTTCCATTTAATTCCACTTAATTTTGGTATCCATGACAGATACGTATTTCGACTACAATGTGCAGTCTTCATCAGTGTAATTCCCACTAAAGAACTTATCAAAATCTAACCCCCTTAAGTACTCATCTCCTAGGTAAAAAAGTCAAGATCATAGGTATAAAAATAAAACTACAATGTGTATAATCGGAACCTACCTAACTAATAAAAACCGAAGATTTAAGTAAGCTAAAGGAGAAACATCTATACAACTCTCTAATAAGGAAAATCCCCAAAGGCTTGGTAGCCATCATAATGAAGTTTTCTATTACCAATGGGTTCATTACTTCACAACGGATAAGAAACCGGAAGGACAGTTCCGCGAAACGATCTGTCAGTGGGAGAACACCCGCGAGTACTTCGAGGCTCATCGTATGCGTCGAATGCATACAGCCAAGCGCGATTCGGAGGCAACGGTATTGAACCCATTGCAGCTTCAAGATATGTGTTTTTGCCGCGGATTGAAAGCAGAAGCTACCGTACTCTAGGACCGACAAGATGGTTGTTCGATACAACCTGATCAGATCTTCCGGGTGTGCTCCCCACCAAGTTCCGGTAATTGTACGAAGAAAATTAATTCTTTGCTGGCATTTTTGTTTCAGATACGCAATATGTTTTCTCCACGTGCTTTTGGAATCGAACCAGACACCTAAATACTTGAAAGATATACTTTGAGTGATTGTTCTACCCTTTAGTTGAAGCTGTAACTGTGCAGGATGATGCTTCCTAGAAAAAACAACCAACTCAGTTTTCTCCGGAGAGAATTCGATACCCAGCTTCATTGCCCAAGTAGACAAATTGTCTAAGGTATCTTGCAATGGTCCTTGCAGGTCCGGTGCACTTGGCCCTATAACGGACACAACCCCGTCATCTGCAAGCTGCCTTAGCGAGCAATTTTCATCAAGACAACCATCAATGTCTTTAACATAAAAATTATAAAAAAGGGGGCTTAAAGATGAACCCTGGGGGAGACCCATGTAACTAATTCGTGAAGTTGTCGAGTTTCCATGAGAAAAGTTCATATATTTCTCAAACAACAAGTTGCTCAAATAGTTGTTCATAATTGGTGAAAGCCCACTATCGTGGAGTTTATCCGAAAGGACATCGATGCGAACAGAATCAAAAGCCCCCTTAATGTCCAAGAAAACTGAACCCATTTGTTGTTTTTGCGCATAGGCCAGTTGAATTTCAGTTGAAAGCAACGCAAGACAGTCGCTCGTTCCTTTCCCTCTCCGAAATCCAAATTGCGTATCTGAAAGTAAACCATTCGACTCGACCCATTTGTCTAGACGAAAAAGAATCATTTTCTCCAACAATTTCCGTCTACAGGATGGCATCGCAATGGGACGGCACGAGTTATAATCATCTGACGCGGGTTTACTGGGTTTTCGAATGGCGATAACTCTTACTTGCCTCCAGTCATCCGGAACAATGTTGTGCTCCAGAAATTGATTGAATAAGTTCAACAAGCGTTTCTTCGTCACGTCTGGGGGATTTTTAAGCAAGTTGAACTTGATTCTATTCATTCCTGGAGCTGAACTGTTACATGAAAGGAGAGCAAGTGAGAATTCCACCATCGAAAAAGGGGAATCTATTTCGTTATTACTCGACGGACGATCACGAACGTTGGTTTAAACTGACACCGAATCCGGGCAAACATTCCGCGCGAAGCTGAAAATCCATCTGTCCGAGTACTCCTTGTCTTCATTTATCGATGATGACGCATTTCGCATTCTCCTGCCAACATTCCAGGGTGTTCTCATGGAAGTCTCTCGCGACAAACCATCGACGAACCGACGCCAGTAACCCTTAAAGGTTTTCTCGAGGTCGGTGTACCGCTCGAAATCCTCGACCTTACCGTGTTTGCGGAAGCGTTTAAATGCGGCGGACTTCTCGCTGTTCGCGTCGGCGCAATCCTTATCGAACGGAAACCCCCGGAACACGTTTCGTCTGTGCTCGCAGCGCACTATCGATGATGAGACGCGCGAGAAAGGAGTACTCGTCCAGCGGAGGAAGTACGTCAACCGATTGACTGGCATCAAGAATCGCGGTCGCGAATTTTCGCCAGTCAATGCTTTTCGTAAGATCGTACGCGATGTCGACCGAGCGAGTAGAAGATGAACCATTGGTAATAGAAATTTTGATTGGCAAATGGTCACTACCGTAGGGATCTTGGATTACTTTCCACGAGTAATCCAACGATAGTGAACTCGAGCAAAGTGAGAGGTCTAATCTGCTTATTTTTGCTGGAGTTCCCCCCTAGCCTGTACCGTGAGAGTTAAAATCTCCCAAGATCAACCGTGGCTCTGGCATAGCCGTGCAGATATCCGAGAAACTTTGACAAGAAATCGCAGTTCTCGGTGGAAGATATACTGAGGCAATACTAAGGCATTTACCTCGAATGTTAACCTGACATGCAACAACTTCAATGCCTGTCACCGAAGGCAGGTCGATTCTGTGGAAGGAATGGAGCTTGTTGATCCCCAGAAGCACCCCTCCATACGAATCTGCGCGGTCAAGGCAAATAATGTTAAAATCGTGGAAAGCAAGATCTTTGTCTGAAGAGAGCCACGTTTCACAAAGGGCAAATGCATCAGAAAGTGAGTTGTTAACTAAAAAATTAAATGTGTCAAGTTTTGGCATAAGACTTCTACAGTTCCACTGAAGAACAGAGATCATATCCCCGACCTCATTCGGAGAATTATCCATCAAAGGATATGATCGATGCAAGGACGGACCACCTAGAAGTTAGTTGCTTCAAAAGACCACTCGTCTTTCGACGCTTAGGAAAATGAAATGGTTAAGGGCTGCCTCATGTAACCCGAAAATAATTCATAAGTCACGCTTATGAAATTCATATACGTTGTTCATAAGTCGAGCCTTATGAAATTCTGAGGTCTATTTGCCTCAGTGTGGATGAAGTTTTTGAAAAAAAAAACCCTTCTTTTGGCGGTGAAAAACATTTGGGTGGTCCTCAAGTTAATTGATATGCAATAACTTAGTTACTTATTTTCAAAAATAAATGCATTTGCTTTTCAGCAATTGTGTAGCTGAGTTCATTTTGTCTGTCTCTTAATGTTCTTATTTGAAAGTAATTTTTCTGAATTCAGGAAAAAT